GAACATTCTTGACTCTGTTTTGGAATATATGGCAAATCCAAGGGACGACGTCAAAAAGAATGTTCTTATTTCGGTGAAGAATATGAGGGGGAAAATTTATTCTAATGGATCATAATGTCAGCTTAATTTCCTGGAATGTTAATAGTTTGAAAAAAAGGTTAACGGATCTTCATGCATATGTTCATTCTAGTAGTATTGATGTCATAGCTTTGCAAGAGGTTGGGACAAACGGAATAGCTTTGCAACTAAGAGGTTATCAAAGTTTTGAATTGCCACATGATTTGACTGGAAATTGTAGAGATTTGACAACTTAAATCAAAGATGGTATTCCAGCATCTTTTCATTCCGCTCTAAAAATAAACGGTACCGAGTATTTGTGTGTTAGTATTACGCTTCAAGATGCTACACTGTTCATTATTAATGCTTATGTGCATGATGATTCCTTGACAGTTGATGATCTGCCGGACATTATTTTTGCTGATGATTGTTTACTAATTGGTGATTTGAATGCTCGGCATAACAATCTTGGCAGTAGAGGGCGATAATGATTATAGACCCAGATCCATAACATCTTGTCTATCTAAAATGATGGAGCTAATGGTATTAAATAGATTATTGTATAAAATTGATGGTCTCTTATATAATAATTTGTTTGTATTTTTAAAGGATAAAAGCTCTACAGATTGTGTGATTAAATGTCTTAGTAATGCTAATGTCAACTGTAGACTGTTGGTAGACCTTAAAAGTGCCTTTGATAAGGCAAATAAGGAAGTGCTCTTAGAAAGTCTTGTAAGTAAAGGAATAAAAGAGAAATTAATGATGTGGATTACAGATTAATTAACTAACAGAAAAGCGAGTGACTGGTTTCAAGGTCATGAATCAGAAGAAAAAAGTCTAGGGTTGGGTACCCCACAAGGTGGCGTTCTTAGCCCTATGCTTTTTAATATTCTTATGGACAGAATAGCTAGTTACAAATTCCAGGGCGAGTCCCAAGTAATCATTTATGCTGATGACATTCTGATCCAATGTAAGAATGAGGAAGATATGTCTAGGGTCATTGATCAGCCGCAGTATCTTTGTGTCTCCTTGGGACTGGTCATTAATGAAAATAAAACCAAATATCAGTCAAGGGCAGTAAATGGAAAAGAATTTTGGCTAAATGGAATAAAATTGCGAAACGTATCTAGTTACAAATATCTGGTAATGTTTGAGAGTATTAATAATAATGTTAAGGATCAAATTACTTATGTAAAAATATATGTACAGCTCGGCTAAAACCTCTGAAAGTTTTGTCAAATAGAGGAAATGGTGTTGGTATACCAGTTTTAAGATCTATGTACTTAAGTACAGTTAGGAGTATCATTGATTATTCAGCTCCAGTTCTAGCTTCTTACTCAGGAAAAGATCTTAGGCCATTAGAGCTTATTCAGAATGAAGCTAAGAGAATTGTGCTTGGTTGTCCAAGGACAACAAGAATAGACATTATGAGGATGGAGCTAAATGTCCCGAGCATGATACACAGAATTAGGGAGTTGACTGTCATTTCTACTCTAAGGCTTATTAGACGTAGTGATGGGTATCTGAAGTCTGCTGTTGATAAATTTACTAATGCAATTACTAGTAATTTTAAAATGAATACTTATACTAAAAAACTTTGTCAGATGTTGTGTGAATATAATATTGTAGATTTGTGTTTACCTTTGCCAAACAAAGTTTATTTGAAATCTTGGTTCATGGAGAGTGTATCTTTAAGAATGGAAAAGCTATAAAAAAAATGTAATCCTTATGAGTTACGGCAAATATTTCTTGAGAAAATATCTGAGTACCATAAGGAAAATGTTATTCATATGTATTGTGATGGTTCAGTTAATGGGAATCGGGCCGGATGTGGCATTTTTATTCGGGAATTTTTTTAATATGGTATTAGTGTTGAAGAAAGAATATCCAAGAGAATTGGGGATAGAAGCTCCAACACCACTGCTGAACTTTATGCTATATATGTGGGACTTAAGAATGCCTTTGTGAGGAAAAAGACAGTTTTTGGGTTTGTTGACAGTCAAAGCCGCTCTATTTGCTCTAAATTCTAAAGTGCCTCTTGATGATGATTTAGTTTGAAAATGTAAGAAGTGTATTCATTACATAAAATCACTTGGATATAATGTAAGTTTAATGTGGATTCCATCTCATTGTGGTATTTATTTGAATGAGGTTGCTGATGATTTGGCTAAGCAAGGGTGTGACAAAGAAATTGTAGAATACGATTGTATTTTGGGGTATTAAAAGAATAAAACCTGGAATGGTAAAAATCCGACAGGAAATGGACAATATTCGGAAAATTTTGAATAACGGCAGTAGTAGTTTGAAACATTATGTTCGAGTTTTGAATTCTACAAGTTCTACTTATGGTAAATCTTCGGTTAAGTATGATGCATTTGTGATGAGACTACGCTTTGGATACAAATATTATTGGCATTATATATTGAAGGAACTAATGGCATTCCTTGTAAACTGTGTGGCTATGTAAAGTCCCATACATTATATCATTACATTATGGAATGTAACTTTATCAGAATTTAGGGATGATGGTATTACTGATATTACAGAGACGGTTTGTTAAGAATTTATGAAAACAAATTCTGTAAGTTTAACATAAGATTGTAGAATTTATGCATATCTATTTGTTGTATACAAATCTGATTTATGATTAGTACAATATTAAAGAGATCTTGTTAAGACTAGTTTTGGGCGGGCTAGTTAGCATGCTAACCAGCTCCTTTTGATGTATTTGTCAATAAATGTTTTGAATTTGAATTTGATTTACCACCGCTGCCAACCTACTGCTTTCACCACCACCACCACCCTACTACTACCCTACTATTCCCTTGCCATCCCCCCCCTCGCCTTCTCACCCTCTTCTAAACTAGTGTGCGGGATCACCCGTGGTAAACTGCTGTATTTTACACATCTAACAGCTTTTAAAACATAACCGTGCAGTGTAATGTAGTGTCTCGGTGTATTGGATATATTCACAGTCTTACATCTTGTGTACAACAATTTCGCCTTGTGAGCTGTTTTCCACGAACTTGATAATTGTGTTGTTAGAACTCTCAGGGTGTCGTCTTGTTATGCAATCTTTATTATCTCTTTCGTACTTGGATCTTAACCTCTAGTTACTTAGTGTATTTAATCTCTAGTTACTTAGTGTTATTATATTTGTAGTTATCGTAGTGACTGGCTGCTCACCATTAGTCAGCTGATACTGTAGCAACATGTGCATGACAAGAAGCTTTACTTAGAGAAACAATGAAGTGTAGAGAGTTGGTGTTGGGTATGAGGAGTGCAGGCTGGGGACCGAGGTGGCCACCTGGCGGGCCTCGCGTTGGGTCACCGTCATCGCCACCTCCAGCAGCAGTGACCTGAGATGACCTTCACAACAAGTGACCTTACTCCTCGATCGTCGCCTACAGACCACAGCTGTAGCTAGATTTAGTAACTTAGTTAAATGGCTTATTACTTTAACACTTTAACGATCCTTTACTTCATGGTTGAAAACGTAAGCAAATATAGCACAAAATTATTATTAATTTCTTATGGTAGAAAGACTTAAGCATCCATGCACGACACCATCACTGTAACACAACATTCGCTTTCAGCAATAACGCCTTTTTGTATATATAAACACAGTGAAGTTATTAACCGCGCAATCGTGAACATGTTAGTGTAAACAGGCAAGTGTTGCACTCCCAGAAACACTGACCATAACCAGCTTGTTGACGTGTTAATATGTCGCACAACTTTAGATGGTTTATGAGCAGACACTTGAGGTGACACACAGGACATGACAGACCATCTGGCTATCATTCCACACTGACACCTGGAGCACATCATCATAACACCACCACCACCACCACAACACCACCAATACACCACCACACCATCACCATACCACTACACCACAACTAAGCCACTACACCACAACTTCACTACACCACACCACCACCACTACACCATATCATCACCACACCACGACATTACCATTACACCACAACTCCACCACTACACAAGACCACCACAACACCACCACTACCCCGCAACACCACTACACCACACCATCATTACAGCACAACACCATTACCACAACACACCACTAAACCACCACAGCACCAGTACACCACACCACCACAACACTACTACACCATTACTACACCATACCATCACCACACCACAACGTCACCACTACACCACCACTATACCACACCACCACCACCATTCACTATGACTAGACTAAGGTTCCATGGCTCTCCAGATCATGTGGTCTCATAAACCTCGCCACTGTGACGCCTTACATCTACCAGGAGTCCCTCAGGTTGTCTGTTGCTCACTACTACCTCACACACACAACACTTATCATAAACGACACGCCATCTTAAGCCAAAACTGTTTATATATATATATATATATATACACACACGAAGTCAAACCTATGATCGTTATGGCCTCGCAGTTTAATATGAAATTAATCCCAAAATCCTTCTTGGATTTATGGGAAATAAAAGTCTAATGTTATCTTTCAACTGGAGGATACACTGTAGATTGTAGGTGAGCCTTACCTGTGTGTGTGTTGACATTCAGCTAGTGCTCGTTCATGTCAACACTGTAATAGCTCACTAGTGTAGATCATTGTTTACAGTATACGGTATGTTAGATGAAAGTGTCCGTAGCACCTCCCTTGTCCCCCCTCTCTCTCTCTCAGTGAGGGGGTCTGGTGCCTTGTTCCTAAACCAGCTCACCGACACTACCATATACTAATGTGTTAACTACAAGAAACACAATATTTACATCTCTTAAATTCATAAAGTTTAAAAATAACAAGAGAATGTATATATATTATTGTTTGTTATTTTATGCCATTGTCAGAAGCAGGAGTAAGGTTTGGGGCACCAGTGGGAGGTGCGCACACACACAAGAACGTATTGTAATTCTCTTCCTTTCTCCCCAGGTCCGGCGTCGAGCACTGCCAGCCCTGGAGCGCCAACACAACACAACAAATAGACTTAGCCTTTAATATATTTTTTATGGTCTACTTTTTTATACGTGTAAGTAAATGTGTGGTTCCTTTCCTCCTTAACTAACGTGAATGTTATTGTATGAGTCTCCTTTCCTTTCTTTCTTAGCCAATTATTTAATCCATTCAAGTAATTTATGTCTCTCTTTCTCTCTCTCTAACACGTGTATTTAAATATTATCTCTCGCTTTCCCTTCCCTTACCTTTTTTTGTTCATAGAATTAATAGTGTCAACATTGAGGTAAGTACAATGTTCATAAATAAATATCTATTATAATGTTCTACTGTTCCATTCCTGTTTTCATAGCCTTAATAACTTCAATAATATATTTTAATTATAACTCTCCAGGATTTCTCTTTAAGGCTCAGAACTAATTTAATTATTTACCACTGTATAGGAGTTAACAATGACCTAAGTTTTTATTTTTTTTTAAGATTCTGAATATTTAATGTTTGAGTTATTTATCTCGAGTACTAGGTCTCTTATCTCAAAGACTAAGTGTAAGATGTAAGACTCACACTTGAGACTCTGAGTACTTGAACTTGATTTATCCCATATTTTATCAGTTAACTCTTCTATATAGTGTATCATCCTCAGCTAATGGCTTTCAATCGTATTTTCTCTTTCCTCTTCTTCGTCGTTGTCATCTTTTTTTTTATTATCATTTCCTCTCCTCTTTCATCCCTGATTCGTGTTCCAGGTTTTCCATTTTTTTTTATTAAACATTTTCTTGATTTTTTTGTTTTATTGACTAGAAAGTGTTTGTAAATTATAGTTCATCTCATTCTATCTCACATTATGTATCACTTTATTCCTTATCTATGTATCACTCTACCCCTAATGTATGCATCACTCTACCCCTAATCTATGTATCACTTTCACCCCTCACTCACTCTACCTCACCCACCTCCTGAATTTATCTACCCCCGTCTTCCCCCTCCTCCCCTCTACTACACTACATATCATGCAGCCACTTCTTGTTCCCTAACCCCCTAACCCCCTACCCTACCCCCTACTTCCCCTTAACCAAACCAGGCACTATTTGGCACTTCAGGAGAGTTCAGTTCATCATCTCCCTGAGGTCTCGTTAATTTCAGCTGTCGTAAATATAACTGAAGTCAAACTCTTTAGCCCTCAAACTCCTTCATGGGACAATATAGAAGTTAATAGATGACGTAGATAGAATACAGACAGATAAAGACAAACACAGACAGACAGACATGCATCACAAGATAGAGACAATGTATATGTATCACTATGACTGAAAGGTAATATGTGGTTTCCTGGACAACCTCTACACATGTGATCCACCACCAGTAACACACACACACACACACACATACTGTACACACACACACACACACACTCTCTCTCTCTCTCTCTCTCTCTCTCCCCAAGAACTAAATCAAATCACCGTAACTACTTCTCGTAACACTAACACTTATTTCACTTTATATTTGTTAAACATTCTACTTACCAAACATCCTATACTCATCCTTGTCTCACTAATCCTTCCCTACATTCTCTTATTATTTTCATATATACCTATTTGTTTACTTTTCCATACCCCGCCCCTTACAAAACTCTTGATCGAGACATCATTCTTCAACAAGTTTGGAACAGATGTGCCTCAGGTGTAGTCCCTGTTTCATCATATTTTTTTTTTTCAGATTCGTACAATTCATCAAAACTTTCCCCCCAACTCCTTGAAACTTCCCTACCCAAAAAAGGGGAGGTTTTGTGGGGTTGGGGAAGGGGGGAGGGACGGAGAGGAGGGAGGGTGGGGGTTAGGGGTACAAATAATATACCCTTAGTTCAGTGGGGTTATATGAACTTACCTGCTTCCACCATGTACCATCACTGTACCTGCCACCACTACGCACCATCACTGTACCTGCCACTACTACACACCATCACTGTACCTGCCACCACTACACACCATCACTGTATTTGCCACCACAACACCATACACTACCTGCCACCACTACACACCATACACTGTATTTGCCACCACTACACACCATCACTGTACCTGCCACTACCACACACCATCACTGTATTTGCCACCACTACGCACCATATACCGTACCTGTCACCACTACACACCACTGTATTTGCCACCACTACACACCATCACTGTATTTGCCACCACTACACACCATACACTGTACCTGCCCACCATTACATACCACACACTGCCTGCCACACCACACACCATACACTGTTGCCACCACTACACACCATCACTGTACCTCACCACCACACACCATACTGTACCTGCACCACACACACCATACATTACCTGCCCACCCACCACACACCAGCACTATTTGTCACCTACACATCACTGTACCTGCAACTACAACCATACTTTATACCCTACACCATCACATGCCACCCTACACCACTATACACCATGCTCATGCCACCTACACATCACTGTACCTACCGCCATTACACACATATATTACACACCATCACTGTACCTGCCACCACTACACACCATCACTGTACCTGCCACCACTACACACCATCACTGCATTTGCCATCACTATCCACCATCACTGTACCTGCTACTACACACATCAACACTGTACTTTTTTTATACAGGGATTAGCCCACCCGGGCACAGGTCACTGATCCACATCGGGGCCTGGTGGACGAAAATGTAATAATAATAATAATAATAATAATAATAATAATAATAATAATAATAATAATAATAATAATAATAATAAAAATAAAGAACTGTAATGAAATACAAAAATGAAAAAAAAGATCAAGAGTGAGAAACAATATATGTATGTTGTGTTGTCAATAGTAAGAGAAACAATTGAGACCCTGCATTGTGTGTAAATGAGAGAAAGTCAGGTCAGCAACCTGGGACTTGGTCACAATTTTCTTGATGCCATATGGCAGCAGGGTCTACCATTAGACAATACATTATGCTTTCAATATTTTCCCAGGCGGTAGTACCTCCCTGTACCTGACACCAGACACTCACTGTACCTGGCACCACACACCATCACTGTACCAGCCACAACACACAACCATCACTCTACCTACCACCACACACCATCACTGCATTTCCCACCACTACACACCATCACTGTACCTACCATCACACACCATCACTGTACCTGTCACCACACACCATCACTGTACCTGCCACCACACACCACTGTACCTGTCAGCACATACACCATCACTGTACCTGCCACCACACAACACTGTACCTGTCAGCACACACACCATCACTGTACCTACCACCACACACCATCACTGTACCTGCCACCACACACACACACCATCAATGTACCTGTCACTACACACACTGTACCCCTGCCACCACACACACCAACACTGTACCGCCACCCACACACCGTACTGTACCTTATACACACACACACCATCAATCTTGCCTGCCACTACACACTGTATCTGCCACCACACACCAACACTGTACCTGCCACCACACACACCATCAATGTACCTACCACTACACACACACTGTACCTGCCACCACACACACCATCACTGTGCCTGCCACCACACACACCATCAATGTACCCTTGCATCACACACACAATGGCTGTACCTGCCACCACACACACGCCATCCTTAGTACCTGCCACCACACACACACCATCAGTAGTACCTGCCATCACACACCATGACTGTGCACCTGCCACCACACACGCCATCACTGTTACCTGCCACCACACACACCATCAATGTACCTACCACTACACACACTGTACCTGCCACCACACACCATCACTGTACCTGCCACCACACACCATCCCACTGTACCTGCCACCACACCAACACTGTACCTGCCACCACACCATCACTGTTCACTGACCACACACCATCACTGTACCTGCCACCACACCACCACTATACCTGCCACCACACACCATCACTGTACCTGCCACCACACACACCAGCTTGCTGTACCTGCCACCACACACACACCAACACTGTACCTGCCTGCCACACACCACCACTATACCTGCCACCACACACACCACTGTACCTGCCACCACACACACCAACACTGTACCTGCCACCACACACACCAACACTGTACCTGCCACCACACACACCAACACTGTACCTGCCACCACGCACACCAACACTGTACCTGCCACACCATCACTGTACCTGCAACCACACACCATCACTGTACCTGCAACCACACACCATCACTCTTTTATTGATGGTTCACCTTTACTTTGCCTCCCTTAATAATAAATTAACTTGCTACACCTCCCCGCTCCTGAACAATTGTGTCACTTCACCTTATAACCTCGACGTCTGAGACCACCCCTTCCCTTCATGTTATCTCCCACCCCCTCCTCCTCCTACTCTTTCCATCTTCTCTTAACCCTCTGCCTCCTCCTACCCTTTCCTCTCCTCCATCTCCCTCTCTCCTATCCCCCCTTCTCCTCCTATCCCCCCCCCCTTTCCTACACCGCCCTCTCCTGCCCCGCTCTTTTTTGTAGAGATAGAGGTGGGGGAAGGAAGTTTATAGTTTGCAAATTGAAAAAATTTAGGAGGAGGTAGGAAAGGGTGGGCTGGCCGCCTAAGGGTTTTGTCATGAGTTAGTAATTGTCTGTCGGTAAAGGCGTGAGACACCCTACTCTATCCCACATATGGGTGTTTAGAGGGCCTTATTTCATATTCCGTCGACCCTACTGGCGGATGCTGGTCTAGGGAGGTTGTCTATTGCCTGGCCGTATAGATTAGGGGTGGTAAGGGACCTTTTGAGATTTGGTAACTCTTTGGGAACCATGTATGGTTGTTGTTGTCTGGTGGGAGTCTTTGAAGGAGTTCTTGCTCTAATCGTTCTATCTTTTGACAGACTCTGCTGGCTATGGTGTGCAACTGCTGGTTGATGGGTTTTTATTCTCAGGTGTTTATGTATCTCGGCTGTGGTTCTGGTGAAGGGGTATCTTTCACCTGTGACGAATCGCAGGGCTTCATTTTGGACCACCTGTAATTTTAATAATTGGGTGGTGCTCATA